GATGGACGGACGTAAACTGTACCTGGTCAGTATCGCCTCTCCTGTTTTTAGATGCTAGCGGCTGCGTCTTGCATGCAAGGTACCGTCCGTCGCGAACTCTCAGCTGCTCTGTCTCTTTCTTATGCTCATCAGCTTGTTGGCGTGACTCGTTGGTTAGCAACAAGTATAGTGCCGGTGTTCCCAGCTGTGGTTGGGATACGCGATCCCAGTGACCATGCATGCAAGTCGGGCGATTCGGAACACCCGTCAAGAACGATGCGGGTAGAGAGAATATGTCCAATCGACCCGGAAAACAAAACCTCTCCATGTTTCCAACGATAAACATTACATTTCCACGCTCAGCTCCCAGCCCACCATCCACCATCCCGTACCTGACGTCAGTGCCAAGCAGCAGCCAGGAGAACCAGCAATGCTCCGGCAAACCGATTGGTCCTTGTCCCGTTGACGCGATCGAGTGGCCTCTATACTAGTTTGTTGCGCGGACAACCGTGCCGACTTGTGTATCATGTGTTACTAGTATATCGAGATGGAAGATCCCAAGAAATGGCCCTTTTTACCGATTAGGAAAGAGAAAAAGGGGTTTAAGGACAAGGTGGTGTGGGGCGGGGGATGAAGAATCAGAGAGTAGAGCAGGTTTTCTTGGGTAGGTTTACTGGTTGTGATAGACCGATACAGTGGTGCGTTGCGTGACTTCCTCAACAGGAAATATAGGTAGTGGTGCACGTACCTCATCTCAACATATATCGAGTTGGGTACAATGGGAATTTGCCTTGTAAGACTTGGCAATAAAAAGCAAATGTGATGAAAGTGTGTTCCTGGTTGGATCGGATTTCTAGCAAATACTATTGTCATCAAACGACCATATCCGAAGCGTTGAAAAGGTGACATACGATACCCGCATCATTTTGAATAAGATCATATGAATAAACCATTGAATATTTTGGCTAAAAATGCAGAAAATCAGTGCCAACTACCCATACATGCAAAGTCAACCCCAATAACTCATTCCATAAAGAAACCCCGACAAACTCCAGAACAAAAGAACAGTATAAAGATATATACACAAAGGAACACATCGACACACACACGCACACACCACCCTTGTAATCACCTTGTAGTATACGCCCTAACATACCGCTCACCCTGAACCTCCCCATCCTCCATAAACAACATGCTGTCCTCCGGATCATCAAACGGCGAGCGCGCCAAGCACACAGGACTAGCAGGGAGACGAACACTGCTGTGTCGAGAGTTGCTCGTGAAGCTCGGCGGAGGCACGCTGCTGGGTCGGTAGGGCGGTGGCGGTCCTGACAGGCTGTAGCTGTCGGAGAAGGGGTCGACGGACATGCGGTTGTTGGAGGTGATGGAGACCATGTCCGAGGTATCCATGCCAGTGAGGTAGGCGCCGTTGGAAGAGGATACAATGGGACCTATGATTATGGGCTGGGGTTGATTCCAGCTAGATGTGGGCGGGAGATGGGCTGGCGGCGCAGTGTAATGTTGTGATACAGCCACTGCTGGTATCGGCGCAGGTAATGGTGCCATATGAGGCCGTATCGTGGGCGAGTCTGGCTCCAACTTCATTTCCTGCACAGCAGCTTCTGCCCTGCGCTTCTTGCGCCTACGCAGACACACTAGAGTTACTGCTCCAATCATCACAAGGATTATGATGGGCACTATAGCTGCTGCAGCATACACGGGCGCCTTGTTGGGACCCTCTTGAGACCACTCCCATCCAGAGGGCCGACCGCCATACGAGCCAATGGTTGAAGATGGTGCTCCAGTCGTTGTTGGAAAAGCATTGGTTATTGACAATAACAGAGTCGAGTCCAACTCGGGATACGGTGTTTGTGAAAGGACTGCTGTTTTCGAAATAGACATTTCCCAAGGGTTCGTCGTGGCAGTGTGGCCTCCGTATCCATATGGAGGCCAAGGCAAAGTTGAAGGGTATCCATCAGGCCGTGTGCTGGGGCGACGTCTTGTCTGAGTATCGTTGTCGTCGAGAGACTGCGTCTGAAAAGCCATGGATGTAGGCTCACTTTCTTCCGCGAACGTTTGCGAATATGAACTTATCGTAGTGACAATTGTCACATCAAAGTCCTGGGGAACCCATGGCGGCGGGCCCCGTTCTTCTTTTTCCCAACCGTCTTGCTGGGGAGCCATTGCGGCTGAGGTGGTCTGCTGACGAGGCGATTTGGGGCAGACAGATGGACTGCAGTAGGTGGCAGGTATCAAGACCAGTCAGACGACGGCTGTGCGGTGAGATGCTTGATCACTCAAGTACAGCCGATTTAGAGGCTGTGCTATGGTCGTGGTTGTCCGCGTCCTGGCCAGTAGCAGGAGATGCGGGGCCGAGAAGGAATACCAGGGCTGACCTGGTTTCTTGAATCGATGACGCGAGATAAGATGGCAGCTTTTATGGAAGTTTACGTCTTGAACAGAGTGATTGACAAATCTCGGAGTACTTGACTGCAAAGAATCGACGGGCTAAAATAGAGAGGTGAAGCAGGAGGGGAGCACATAACAAGACCCCAAGCTGAAGAGGCGCAGGCATGTTGCTGTTATCTGGCGCCATGTGCGATGCTGCAGGCCGTCAGGCCAACCAGCCCCAAGTCCGGTGTGCCGACCGTAGGTATTCGACTTCATTGGCCACAGGCTGCGATGACCGTTCCAGCCATAGCCCCAACCTGCGTGTGTTGGAGACAAGTAACCCCACTGGCTCGGAATTGGGTATTTTAGGCTTGGAGAGGAGGCTAGTCGTCGATCTAACAAAGCTTAGTCGATGCAAACACCGTATTCTCCGGGTTGTGTGGACATGGTGCGTTGTTGTGCTCCATCGCTCGCATGTACCCCTCTTGTCTTGTGTGATGGGCTTGTTTGTTTCAGCTGGAAGGGGGAGCGTCCTGATCGACACGGGATAAGCAAATGCGGGTGTACCAACAACCAGCCTTTACACATGCTACGCCTACTCTCCACCGTGCGGAGATCCCTCTGCGGGGCGTTTGGTGACGAACATGCTTGGCCGAGGAGTGTTATCAGGGTGATCCTGGAAGTAAGTGAGTGGTAATGGGTCCATTTCTTGTCTTGGTGGTTACAAGTATATCCCGTTTGGGCAATGAACGATGCCACCATCAACACAGGTGGAGCCGCAGCAATGTCAAGGTGTAATGCGGAGCGGGAGATTCTTATATCCGGCGGCCGTTCCCGCTCCTCTCCCATGACCTTGCTGCTTGTGTCGGGCATGCGCGTCACATGTTCGCATCAAAACAACCGGCCATGTCGTACATGCACTTGGAACAATGACAATAACAGAGGCGAGAATGTGTCTATCTGGCATCACAAAGCGAGTCCGGCTGCTACGTGGCATCGGGTCGCCATGGATGATGCGGAGATGCGGCCCAGCCTGACAGTTACTGGAGCAGCGCTTGGCCGGTGATCTCATCGGCCGCACGTGCATCCATCTGCTATCCGCGGACACCTTCACCACGCCTAACTCGACATATACTCTCCGCCAACATGGACAAGTTCAAGAGTGTGGCCAAGGGTGGCTGGCACCCAGAGAAGGAACGCACCAACAGCGGAAGCAGTGCAGGGGGGCAAAGCGATTCCAAGATTGGACAGGTGGTATGCAAAGGCACATTTCTCTGACAGGCATGCATTCTGACTTGCTTCTGATATGTAGAAAGGCTGGGTTGGCAAGGCCCAGGGCAAGGATCTCCACGCTGAAGCTGCCCGTGAACATCAATCTACGCCTCTATCGTCGTTGAAAGACCCAGCCTCGTTTGCTCCACCGCCAAAGCGCCTTGACTACAATGCAGGCTCTTCAGCAGCAGCAGGCGCCCGCTCGCCCACTGGACTGGCATCTGCTCCCGCTGCAGGGGCCAAACAGAGACTACAGGAGAGGGAAGAGGCGCGGCGACAAGCAGAAGAAGAAGCCAACAAGCCGGCTCCAGGACCATATAGATCCAACACGACCGGATTGAGCACTGCCCATCTACCCAAACCTCCAGCCTTCCGACCAGGTGCTGCTTCAGCAGCGTCACCAGCACCTCCACCCAAGCCGAAGCCTAGCCTCCCTCCCCGGCTGCCTCCGCGACAGAACTCTAATCCCGACGAGTTTACGCCACCTCCTCCACCGACATATAATGAGGCCACACAGCAAGGGACACCGGCACAAGGGGTCATGAACCAGGCTGCGTTAGGTCGTCTTGGACAGGCGGGTGTGGCAGTTACAGGCCTGGGCATTGGTCGGACGGCATCACCTCCAGTGCCGCCTCGGGCGAACCCGTCTCCTCCCGTACCAGCGCGTGCAAAGCCCTCACCACCAGTACCGCCTCGGCAGAACTCTGGCCTAAGCGTCAGTTCACAGGAAACACCTACCACCAATCAAGGATCGCAGATGAGCGAGCTGCAAAGTAGGTTTGCAAGATTATCGGGACCAAAGTCACCAGCAGAACCCCCTGCGATGGGTACATCGTGGGCGGACAAGCAAGCCGCGCTGCGTACGGCGAGCAACTTGCGCAATGACCCCTCCAAGGTATCTGCCTCTGATCTGAAAGGAGCAGCGTCGACAGCGAACAATTTCCAGCAACGACATGGGGAGCAGGTTGCATCTGGGTGGAAGTCTGCCAATTCGCTCAACCAAAAGTACGGAATCGCAGCCAAAGTTAACAATCTTGCGTCATCAAGCGCATCACCACCACCGCCAGCGTCAGCAGTCCAGTCGCCGGTAGCGAGTAGCCAGGGAGGGTTGGGGAAGAAGGCCCCTCCCCCACCGCCGCCAAAGAAGAAGGATTTGAGCGGCGGCAGTGGTAGTGGCAGCTCAAATGAGCCTCCGCCAATCCCGCTGAGCAGCAAGCCCAAGTTTTAAAGCCGCAATGACAAATTGGATGTCTTTAGATAGATGTGTATGTACATATGTAGTCGATATGATATACCCGCTGTTGTAATAATGTTCCCCGCATGTATGATTGTAGCAGTCCCTCAAGTCACCTTGCCAGTTACGGCGCAGCGGCTCTGTTCCGCAGCTTTATTAGGCTTGGGCTCTGGACCCTCGACGTGTTCGCTACAATCCCTGCCCAGATTTTTGAAATCTTTTTTTTGTTGACCAGATCTGGATTTGGTGGCAATTGAACAGCACTGTGGACCGGATGGGGTTCTGGCATAGAGGGCGAATGAAAGAGAGGCGTACATGTATTCACACATACATAGAAACAAGCCCTGGAGTTCCCAAAGGCGTTAGGCTTGCGAGGCTCACGGCAGCGGCAACAAACCCCAAGGCCAAGTCTTTGAGCGTTTTGTTGCTTGTGGCTAGGGGGGACTGGGGACTGGGGCCTCGGCACGTCATAGCGATGTTATTCGCCCAAAAATGTTGCGTCGCCGCTAAAATCCTCACCAAAACCAAGAGTCCCGTCCAGGTCCATTGCCTGCTCTTTCCAGCTTCCGGTCCGATGCACCTTTACTAGATACGTGGTCGCCCCGAGTCTATCTGTGCGCCTCGCCTTGGGTATATTTTGTCTTCGCTGCCCCGGATTCGTGTGCTGGAACCGTCAATTGCGCAAACGACACTGGCCATTGCGTGTGTTGGGGTGATAAAAACAACACAACAAAGAACCCAACAACAGCCACCGTTTCACTCTCCCTCCTCTGTTGTCCGGGCCCCGCTCTCACGACAGCTATCCCCACCTCTCGAGGCCTGTCGACGACGACACTGCTTAGCGTAACGGCTCGGAATTGGGCCTTACCGAACTGCAGAAAACTTCCCTCACGGCCCCTTCACCCACGCCAGACCACCACCACGCCCTGCGACCTCTCCACTGAAGCATCCATACACTGAGCCATCATGTCTGGCGCAGGTCCTTCTCTGCACCCCGGCGACTGGCCGTCGAGGGCTGTCTTCCAATTCCCTCCCGATGCCGCGCCCTCGCCCATCCCACCTCCGTGGACCGGCGAGGCGACGTTTGCAAACCCATTCCCTATTCCTGAGGACATCTACCAGGGCGCTTTGTCCTACAAGGTCCCGCTGACCATTGCCTCTGTCTACTTTGTCACCGTCACCTACGTCAACTGGTACAACCGCCAGCATGGAAACAAGCCGTGGAGGATCGCCAAAACCCGACCCTTCTTCGCGTTCGTCATCTTCCACAACGTCTTCCTGGCTGTCTACTCGGCCATTACCTGCGTCGCCATGATCCGCTGCCTCAAGCGCTCCTTCCCTCACTACAGCGAGCCCAACGCCGTTGTTGGCACCATTGACGCCCTCTGCAAGATCCACGGCCCCCGCGGACTTGGCGATGCCGTCACCTTCAACAACACCAACGACTCTTGGAGCAGCCTCAACCCAAACATTGCCCTGGCAGCCAGCGGTCTTCCCGACAGCTCCGACCTTGGCAGGATCTGGAATGAGGGACTTGCTTTCTGGGGCTGGTGGTTCTACCTCTCCAAGTTCTACGAGGTTCTCGACACGGCCATTATCCTCGCAAAGGGCAAGCGAAGCACAACCCTCCAAAAGTACCACCACGCCGGTGCCATGCTGTCCATGTGGGCTGGTATGCGCTTCATGTCCCCACCCATCTGGATGTTTGCTCTGGTCAACTCTGGAATCCACGCTATGATGGTAAGAATCTACCCTTTGCTCAGATTGACGCCTGCTAATCCTTCTAGTACACCTACTACACCGTATCAGCCCTCGGCTACCGCGTCCCCAATGTCGTCAAGCGAACCCTCACTACAATGCAAATTACCCAATTCCTCGTCGGTTCCGCCTTCGCCGCTGTTCACCTCTTCATTTCCTACACCGTCCCCGTCTCGGTCGCATACAAGGTTGCTGAGAAGGTTGCCCAGAAGGCTACTCCTGAGGCGGTCGCGTCTACAGTCTCTTCTGCAGTCGCCTCTGCCACTGAGTCTGTTGCCGAGGCCTTGCCTACCGTGACTGGCGTTGCCGTTGCTTTCCTCAGGAAGCTCATTTACCGCGCAGCTGGTGACGAGGGTCTTGCGGAGAACATTCCCGTCCCTGGACACCCCGTCCCAGTCCGCCAGCAACAGCCACTACAAGATGCGGCCGCTGCGGTGCCTACTCCTCTGCACAACGCAGTACACAACTTGCTCCACCCTCACGAGACTATCGAGAAGACCTTCTACCGCACCGAGTACCAGACTGTTCCTTGTGTCGATACCTCCGGCCAGGCTTTCGCCATCTACGTCAATCTGATTTACCTCGCCCCTCTCACCTTCCTCTTTATGCGATTCTTCTTCAAGTCCTACCTCCGTCGCTCGTCCCCCAACACCAAGCGCTCGAAGCCCCGCACCATTTCCGACGCAGCTGGCGATGCTAGCCGCAAGGTAGAGCGCGAACTCGACTCTCTGGACAAGTCAGCCGAAGATGCCATCTCCTCGGGAGTGAACATTGCTAGGGATGCTGTTCGTGGAAGGCGACCAGTCAATGGCAAGGTCAAGGACGAGAGGCAAGGTAGCATGAGCCCAGCCAACCAAAAGTTCTTGGACAATGTCAGCCGCAGAGTCAGCCAGAAGCTACATGAGCTTGACGAGGGTAGCGAGGCTTCTGCCCAAAAGGCAAAGCAGATTGCGAGGGAGGTTGTTGCCAAGGCCGAGCAGGCTGGCCACAAGGTCGACCAGGCATACGAAGACAACGAAGAGGATGTGGCTGAGAAGTCAAAGATCAACGGCAACCATCAAAACGGCCCAACGGATGCCGAAGTCGCAAAGCCCGAGTCTGAGCCCGAGCCAAAGGACATTAACAACACGTTGAAGAAGGGCGATGGGCTGTTCTAGATGGACCAAAAGGTGCTGTCACAAGCAAATGCATCCAACCAAAAGGGGAAGAAGTAATCTCGAGTTTAGCGGATCCCAAAGTTTGGTTGACGCCGCACTACTGCTACCAACATTGGGCTCGGAGTTTTTTTTTCGCCATGTAGTACCGAATTTTGAGCGCTGTATTAGACCTGGTTGAAAGATCCAGACTTTTCTTCTTCAAGCTTAAACCTCCCTGGCATTATTTTGCAAGGGCGTAACGGAGAAGAAGGAGCAAAAAAGCGTTTTGGAGAATCATGGCGTACAACAATTTTTTTATTTTACATGTTTAACAAATAGGTCTGGGTTGATACGGACAGGATGGGACAGGACGGGGCGAATTGTGGAGGGATGGCTTTTTTGGTAATTTAAAGAAAAATTAAGGTCCGTGAGAAATGGAATGGAAATAGGCCTAGGCCTTTGTCTTTTTTTTTTCTTCCAAACGATCTCAATGCCAGATTTAACTTTTTTTTTACAATCGTTTCTCTGTGCTACTTGGATATATCATTACACTCTATAAACACAAGACCAGAGTGTAATAAAAGTTTACACTACAACATACACCTATCGTATGTCAACCCCATACCCCATCGCCCCCACCCCACTCCCAAGTTCGACCCTCTCCTCCCTCTCTCTCCTCCTCTCCTTCTCCCCACCACCATCCCTCCTCACAACCACCACCCCATTCCCCGTCTTCTTCTCGACCCCCGTTCCCGCACCACCACCACCACCACCAACACCATCCTCATCATTCCTCGCGAAAACCTGTAGTCCACGTAAATGCGTATCCTTTCCATTCTGGTGATTTTCTAGAATCTTGATTTGGAGGAGGTGGCAGCGCAAGGTGGGCATTTTGGGGGCGCGGGGGCGGCGGATCGGGGGTGCGCGGCGGGGGAAAGAGGAGGTTGGGTGGGAGGGGGTGAGGGAGGTAAAGGGGGCGCGGGGGTAGTGTAGGGAAGGGGTTGAGGTGGGGAGGTGGGAGGGGGTGGAGGTGTAGATGTTGTTGTTGTTGTTGGGTTGGTCGAAGGAGGTTGTGGGAAGGGGGGTGTGGTGGGGGTTGTTGAGAGGGGTTTGGAGGTGCGGTGGGGGGAAGGGGACGGCGTTTTCGGAGTCGGAGGAGAGGTCGCGGTGAGGGGTTTGGGTTGGGGCTGGGGTGGTGGTTGTAGTGGCGTCTGTGAGGAGGTGGTGTCGTTGGGTATTTGCGGTGGTGAGAGGAGGGTTGGCTCCGTCTTCATCGTCGTCGTTGTCGCCTTGGTCGGGGTGTTCATCGTCGTCGTCGCTGTCTACGTCGCCGACGCCGGAGAAGTCAGCCCAGATCCAGCCTCGGGGGCTTTCGAGCCGCATTTCTCCCCATTCTTGGAGGTCGTTCATGCCGCTGCCGGCGAGGAAGATGATGCGTGTGGGAGTGTAGGATTCATCTTGCTCAAAGTCAAGGTAGAGGCGAAGACCGACTATGCGGACGAGCTTGAAGAAGTGGATGTTGAGGTAGTGTGGTTGAGGGCCGTCGGATTGCCAGAAGAGATTTGTATTTGCGTGCCGGAGCTGGGGTATTGAGCAGCCTGGCTTGGAGGAGGAGACGGTCCATGAGGCCAAGGTACTGATTTCACGAAGATATGGCGGTGGTGGGTCCAGATTGGGGAGTGGAGTTGCTTGGGAGGGCGAAGCAAGCGCTTCGTCTTCAAGATCCTCGTCCTCATCCTCGTCTTCCTCGTGACCAGCGTGGCCTTGGTCATCCAGGCCTACTAGGTCGTCGGCCTCGGCTTCGCCCTCATCGTCGGTTACATGATCCTGGCGACCTCCGAGGTCCATGTCATTGTCTGTGTCATCTGCCTCTGAAGGGGGGGTTGAATGATGAGGTTGGCCTCGGTGGCGACGTGAAGGCGGCATAATTGGTAGTATACAGGTGAAGTCGACGTCACAATTGGGGATAGAGGAGCTGCACAAGGAGCAGGGTTCAGGGATTTGTGTGTGTGCAGCAATTTGTTTCCGAAAAAGCAAACCGAGGCTGCATTACCATCAATGCCGAGCGTATAGTAGAGAGATGTTGGCGTAGTGCGTACGCCCTGAACAAAGCCAGCAGGGAAGACGGATAAGGACCCACTTGCGGCTCGGGATTCTGGACCGAGCGCGCAACGTTTGTGTGTTGTTCGTATACACAGTAGACTTGCTTTGTGGAGCGCGTGTCTTCAGCATGGTGCAAAGACGACGGATTAGTCCATGCAAGGTGGTGGGTGGAGGAACCAGAGGCCCAGGCTCACGTCGGCCCTGTTGCTGCAAACCGCCAGGTACTACACGCCGACTACGGGCGGAGACGCGTCTACCCGCTCACACCATCCCACGCCCACCACTCCCGTCCACTGCCGTCCACTTAGCAATTCACACCAGCTGCCAGGTTTTTGTTGCTATATGCCCATCGAGATGCACTTCCGCTCTGCCAATCACGAGCTGCGGCGACTTTTCTTCAGCCAGACAATATCTGGCACGTCGATCCCTAGGTCGAGGTCTGGCCAGCTGCTGTTTCACGACAAATCAGACCACCCACACCCAGCTTTGGGCTTGCCTCCGTCACACGCTTACTATCAAAGTCATCTGTCGAGCCAGCGTCGCCGACAGCCCCTTGACGCCATCCGGGGCTTCTGGGTAGTGGAGGCTTGATAGCTTGGGGACGCCTAGTCGTCGTCCGATGCATCCCTGCATAAACCATCATCATAGTTTGCCTAATCCTGTCCACGCTGCATACACTCCCCTCAACCCATGACTTTAGCAGCTTCACCAACCCTACCTGCCTCTTGCTTTTTTCGCGGCACTTTGTTAATCAAAGGACTAACGCGGCACTTTCTGCACCGCCTCTTGTCCTTCTCAATCTGGCCCACGAACCGTTCCCTCTTCAATCCGTCTGTCCCTCTCTCTCCCTCCCCTATCTATAAGTGACATGTAGCGTTTTTCAGCTATTGCTTGGGTCGCGCCAGTTCGTGTCCCGTCAACTGTCTTAGCTTCGGGCGTATATTGTTCAACATATGCGCCTCTTCCTTCGATACGCATCTCTTTTTCTTGCGCCCTAGCGATCGAACACCTCAGACGCGCCATCTTGTATCTATCCAGACTGCTAATCACAGCATAATGGAAGATCCGGCTCCTGGAGAAGTATCAGACCTGATGGTGCATACCTACAGGCTCGTCATCGCCTTTCTTATTCTCGCATGGATCTTTATATTGTTACGAGTCTACACTCGCACTGTGATCATTTCCAACTTCGGCTGGGACGATACTGCCATGGTATTGGTAGGAGTAAGTACTGCCTCCGATTTACTCATTCTCTGCCCTAACCTGAGTAGGCGATATTCACTGTTTACTGTGGAACAATCATCTACATCTACCACAATGGTGGCGGTACTGTTATAGCCGACTTTGATCAATTGAACCACCTGATGAAGGTACTCGCATTCCGTCTTCCTTCCACCACTGCTTAGCTGACCATTACAGATTGCCACGGTTGCTGAATCATCTTACGTCTTGACCATGATGCTCATCAAGATATCCCTTGCCGTCTTCTTCGCCCGTATCGTAGTCAAGCGATGGCACTTGACGGTCATATATCTGTTTGTCACTCTCAGCATCGTATCGTCAATCGCCACCTATTTCTACATCTTCCTTCGGTGTGGCCCCGATCTGGATCAGTATCTCATCCGCGAACTGATTCGAGACTGTACGCCTCTTCAACTCGACATATTCATGGCCTACCAGCAAGGTGCGACAAGGACCAACCGGCTCATGACTTGTAATAAGCTAATGTTGGTTCTTTAGCTGTATTCAATTCCATCACAGATATCGCCTTCCTTTTCATGCCGGCTCTGGTGCTTTGGAATTCCCCAATGGAGCGACGCGCCAAAATTTCAGTCGGCGTCATCTTGGTAGTGGCCACACTGTACGATCCTACAAGACCATATCCAGACTCAGTGCTAACGTTTGACAGCGGCGCAGTATGCTCACTCATACGATTCAAATACATCAAGGGTGTACTCAAAAATGGCAACTACTTCTACCAAGCCGTCCACATCTGTATGTGGAGCACCATCGAAGTGGGAACCTGCATCATTGCCGGATGCACAGCCACACTAAGACCGCTGATGAAGATTGCCTTGATTCAAGTACAAGTAACGCTTCCCCTTTCGCGACTTGGTTCTGGAGTACCGCCTACATCCAGCACTCCAAAGAGCAGTCAGCAATCAAATCATCGCTCGTCCCGTATGATACGCCTTCCGGACAACGACCTAGAGTACGGGAACCCTGACCCCACGGGATCAACCTTGCTGCTCCCCAAGATACCCGAGTTTGTTGAGCTGGTAGTACGCCCGGACCCTGTCATCCTTGCGCCTGTTGCAAAGAATACACAATCAAGGCCGGGTTCCATGTTTGGATGACTCAAGTCCAGACTTTGGGGCTCGTTGCTATTGCGCAACCGGCTCGAATAAAGTTTTGCTAGGCCAGCAGACTGGACGGATACAGGCGCATCCATCCTCATTCCGCGGAGCCTGGTGAGGACTGGGGTGAAGCTAGGCTCGACCATAATTCCGCATTAGGAAACGTCCAGACAACTAGCTTTGGCGATCAGCATGCCCAGTGCACATGGCTTGCTACCCCACGGATTTTCCGACAAGTGCATGTGAGACATTCTTCGCACCACGTTTGCACTGTGCAACTTGACGGCTTGCGGTACCGGTACTGACAGGTTGCCGTTATGCTATCCTACAACACCGCTGTTTGCAGGCACTACACGACGTACATACACATACGCAATGACCTTCAAAGTGCCTGACGCAAGAGATGCTATCGTCGATGTATTCCTCTCTTTCAGCCTTAGGGCTCGGTTTCGCTTGGTTCCTTAGTCACGGATGCATACATGCGGTACCATCAATGAAACAGACATGCACTCATTCCCCGGAGAAAGAAAAACCAGTTGGATAACCCTTGGCTGTCCTCAAAGTCTACCACCACGCCATCTCCCTCGATGCCACGCCTTGGCGCCACACGGCAAGTGGTTTCCGACGCCCTGTGCCGAGTAAAGACAAGTCCTGCTGCAGATAAGGGCAAACTGTATTTACGAAATGTTGCACATTACGTTCTCACTTCCCCCGTCAACCTTGTTTACGTTACCCTAAAACCGGTGTTTTTGGATTGTACCGCGCGGTTGTCTGTTTCCGAGTTTTATCGGACATGGCGAATTTTCCTTTAGAGTTTTCGCCACCCCCGAAGTTGCGACTGGGGGAGGGGAGTACACTACGTAATCAAAAAAGAACAAGTCATGTATGTATAACACTGTTTATGACTGAAGAACCCTTTTTGTCCTCTCTTTTCTAATGTATGATGATGAATGTGGAATGGGATGTAAGGGCTGCATTGGGGGCGTTGTTTAGTAGTTAGTCCCTGCATATCTTTTTCATTTGTATATATGTATAATACTTGTTTAAATCAATGAAGCATAAATGTCCATCACCTCTCGTCACATCACATCTACGCCCAATTGCATCTTCAACTTGTTTTTTTTGTTTATTTTCTACATACCCGCGTTTCGCGCATTCCAAGATCCCTCACACTTCCCCCATGTGCACTATGCCCTCCAACACTCCATAACCCAACGCTATCCCCCTCCGCTATCCCCCCTTCTCCCTCGCCACCCTATAAAGTCATCTAGCCCCCAACAACCCCCCGGCCATCACGCTTTCAGCCCAACGCCTCAATAAACACACACACCCAACCGTGCACCCTGGCCCTCCAAACATCAAGCCGCTTAAACCAATCCTCGAGGATCGCCCCCGAAAATCTCCATTCCCACACTTTCTCTTACTATTGGAAACCCCCCCCCCCCCTGTTTTCCGATCGATATTCAAGGTGCAGAGCGAGTACTGCGTAAATTGGTGTACTGCGCATAGAGTGCGAGATGCATAATGATGTATGTAGTCTTCATTTTACACGCGTGTGTGCGGAAGTGCGGAAGTGTAGATAGGCATTGAACACTGTATATACATTATACATACATTACGTAAAATTATGGAGTAAAAAAGTAACGGTACTTGGACTTTGACACACATGTACATAAACATGGAGGTTTAAAAAAAAGCTTATACTTACTTCTAGAACGATATTCGGGATGTTCCGTCGTTGGGCGTGGGCATTTTTAGATCTTGATCGGTGAAGCCGTGGGCGTGCGTGCGTCGAACTTGGTAGTTAAGGGGGTGTCCTTTTTTCGAGGGGAGGTAAGTTTATTGATATCTATTTGTCGAATGAGAGAGGATGGGGAAAGGGAAAATTCTTTTTTTTGGGGGGGGGGGATAGTTCGTTGTGTGAATATCGTTGGAGACTTTGAAGTGATTGGTAAGGCAATTTTCTTGTACGCCTGATGAGAAATCTGAACAAGTTTCGTAGTAATTCTGAGTTCGGGTCTAAGGCTGACGCTAGAGTTTCTGACTTGCAGAGCTTAAAATCTACTCCTTTTTGCCTTCTGACGTATCTGTCGAGTAGATTGTACTTTGATTTTCCAATTCAAACTTCATTTGCTTGCCTGTAGTATTCTTGAACCGTTTCAGCCTGCTAAACGAAAAGATACTCTTGGATTAAATTCACTGGTGTACCCAACTTCACCGTGAAGAAAGACTTTATCCATAGGCGCTTGATCGAGATTAATCTTTTCCTATTTGTTTGTTTTCGTGATTTGGGTTCCGGGTCACATAAGAGGTCGCACCAGACAAGCCATGTCTTGTCGTTGGCGGATATGCGGCACTGCGAAATGTAGATCAACACATCCTCTTACGCCAGGTACCGGGCACAAGTCCAATATAATCTATTTTTTCGGCATGCCTTATTCCCGCTACTAGTACCAAGATGCCCGCAAAGTCTTCGGGACGTAAGTATATATTGTCTTGTGGGTGACTAACATTAAGCTTTGGATCGACGTGTGAAATGACGTCTTCTATACCTCCATTAAAAGCAAGCCCAGGGGTGTAACTTACCAGCGTTCTGGGAAAAGGCTCCAAGATCTTAACATACGAATAAATCATGAGATCATGTAAGCCTTACTCAGCAAATAACCATATCAAGATGAATATAGTTATACCTTGGCTTCGCTAGAATGTAGCTAATTACTACTGGAAATAAAGACTCGCTAAGGAATACAAACAATGGCAATCTAGAGGCGAAAAATAAAAACAAGTCACCGAATCTAGACCTATTACCTCAACCGCTTCTGACAGGACAAAATGCAAAAAGCAAAGTCATGTCACTGGGACAAAAAGAACCGAAGCCCAAGGGGCTCGAACCCTCAACCTTTGGTGGACAGGCAGACAAGGCCGAAAACCAACGCGCTACCATTGCGCCAAGGCTCCAGTAGATGATTTGATGGAAAACTATTGATTTGTAAAATAAATATTGATTGCTGGATTTGACAATCGCAACGCACATGAACGCGACTCGACTATAGGGTGACCCTGATATAAATTTACTCAAATGTGGGGTGGAAGCTTGGCCGAGCCCCTCCACATGCGTCTCCACTCTATCGATTCCTATCGCTATCGGCAATCCTTTAGATCTTCTTGCATCATCCTAGTTTCGCAGTACAGGTAGGACATATTGTTGATGGTAAATGCACACACCCCAAATACATGCAATGACTACAAGCCTTGTAATCGAGTCTGTATTTCACGAACAATCTAATGACAGTATCTCGAACGTACAAGCCATGCTACAAGTGATGATGAAAAGCTATCAAATTTCTATTTCATACGCCAGACCATGCTATCGCTAATCGACAAGACAATTGCTATACACGCCCAGTAGTCTCCAAATCACAACGGCTATCAAGTCTCAATTTCGGGGCTTCCTCCATAGCTCTTCTACATCAAGTTGCCGAGGTGACTTCACGCCGTTGTTTGGCTGTGAAGCAGAGTACTCAATACCACAAGATCCGCGGTCCAAAGCAAGAGTATTCAAATCCCAATGTAGTTGCTCTTCCGGGTCTGTAGCTAAACTTGTTCGGGTTCGGTTCTGAATCTGAAGCGGTGCAGGATCAGATATTGAGGTATTAGATGCCATTAGGGATAGTGATAGAGAGTCGAGCTCGTTGGCAAATTCCATTTCCTCTTTGCTAGCCTCCATGGCAGAGCAGATGTTACTTGGGCGTGTCTTGGCTTTGAGCTCCATTTCGTAGACTTGCTGGTCACGAGAGAAGTCTGCCTCCAACTGCCGATGTTCGGCGTACCATTGATCGTACTGGTCCTGTGACATTTGCTCGATTGGTGGGTACAGAGCGTTGTGCTGCGCTTGTCGCTCTTCCCAGATCTTCGCAGCTTCTGCTTGGATGCACTCGTGGCAGATGAAAGCAGCCTCTACGGTGTTTCCGTAAGGTTCGACACAGTTTGCACCGCAGTCTTCGACTAAATCTGTCCGGATGCGATGCGAACACAAGAGCTGATGGTAGAGACGGCCTTGACACGGTGCGAATCGTTTTGACCGTACATTATTGAATGTCGAGGCTGATGAGGAAGGTTGTGTGGAGGTGGCAAAGTGTGAGTTTGCGCCACCGCTCTCTGCACTTGGCGAACTGGTCCACCCCCATCTACACGCCATGACGAGGTTTGCATGAGACATGACATCGTCTGAGACTTTGGAAGTCGGGGCAGAACGAAAAGCGCTACTCGAGAAATCCATAGTAGGGACAGCTAAAGTCCAAGTTTGAGTTGAGGGTTGTCGATATGGCAGTGCGTCAGCTGACGACGCGTGGTTGCCTTGGAAATGTCAAATAAGCGAAAAGGTCCAAAAGCCAGGAGCAATATCTGCTACTGAACAGACGACAGATGAATGAGCAGTCAAGGGTGTTGTGAAACAATTGACGTAGTAATTCGTATGGTCTCGTGAAAGCGCATCGTGTGTGCACAGGGCACTTGCAGTCGTGTACAACCCACGCTAACTACACCTATCGCAAAGGGCTGGTCGGTTGTTATCGCAATAGCTGTTGGGCGGCCAAAAGTGCATGTTACAATCGAGGCGGGCCGATAGCGATGTTGGAACGAAAGCGCGAATGGAAGCCCGATGAATGATGCGCTGCTGGGATGGAAGGTTGTGGACGAGTGAGAGGTGATGAGTCGCGACGCGCTGGACCACACTCGTGATGGCGCTAAGCTTGGCCGGGCCGATGACGCTATAGAAGCTTCGAGTTTCGCTGTTGAACACCATCCACTCACACTGGCGAGCTTTGCATGCAACCGGACCACGACAAAGTATGCGATATGCGTTGTACAAACAGTGACTTATGGAAATCCAGAAGGATAATCTTCACCATCATGTGACCCGCCATCCGGTGCAGAGAACCTCAGGAGGTGGCAAAAAAAGCAACAAGAGGACATAAATCACTTGACACGTATGATTAACTCTATCTCGTATGCCCCTGCTGTCATTCAAACTGTTGATATCGTTATCCTAGACCAGGAATCTGAATCCACGCTCTTGCCCAGCACGCGGTACGCTGTTGATGGCGCCCTCAACATGTTCTCCGCGATCAAGCCTTTTGTTAAGTCGTACGAGAATGATGCGCATAACGCCCGCCATGATAATCGCCAACGCAGCCGTTGCACAATCTACACTCAAGGGTATGGTCAATTTTGGCTGACCCTTCTTTGGCTGCGGATACATGTAACTAGCATAAATCGAGCTCGAGTTGCTGACGGCGTTGATGAATGCTAGCGCTGCTGCTCTCTTCGCAGGCGGGCGCGGCAACGAGTTGGAAATCCAGGCCAATGCAACGACGTAGCCCGTATACACACCCGGTACCATGAGCATCATGGCAACGTATCGAGGTGCTGTTGTGTGAGTAGCAGCTGCCAGGATGAATGCGAATACGCCGACACAGAGTGGGAGTACGATGTGGAGGAAGCGTTCGCCTGTACGGTCTGCGTGCCAGGCATTGAAATAAGTTGTAATGACTGCAAGGAGGTAAGGCGGGGCTGTAAGTAACAGCGTTTCGGTATTCGAGTATCCAAGGGTCTTCACCACAGTTGGGAAGAAGTTCGTTACCGATGCTGAGGAGACAATCGAGAGGAGCATGATTGTGAAGACCCAGGTCTTGATGTCCACCAAAGCAAGTTTGAGGCCCTTGAAAAAAGTCTGTGCCTCTGAAGATACCCAATCTTCTTCACCAATGTCTTCTTCAAGCCGGAAGACAGCAAGCTGACGTTCTTCATCGGTCAGCCACGACGTTGTGAGTGGGAAGTTTGGCAGTATCCAAAACGCCAAAAAGGCAATGCCGACAGTGATACCCCCCTGCAAAGATTAGCAAGGTTTTAAACACTCTCTTGATAAAATTACCTCGATGATGAACACCCAGCGCCACGCTCGCAATCCATGTGTCCCATCCATGTTTTCTTTGATACCCGCTGTGATCAGTCCACCGAAGGCGCCTGATATCAGAGACCCAGAGTACAACACCGCAGTTCTGAACCCAAGCTCTTTCCTCGTATACCATGCACTGAGATAGAACAGGCAGCCCGGGAAATACGCAGCCTCGACCACTCCAAGCATAAAACGACATGCAATTAGTCCGCCGAAATTTTGACATGCAGCTGTAGCTCCAGAGATAATACCCCATACAACCATACAAGTCGGTAGGTAGAGAGCAGGTTTTCCAAACTTATTAAGGAAGAGGTTAGAGGGAACTTGCATGAGAATGTACCCGACAAAAAGAATGGAGATGATGGTCTGGACAAAGTAAGTATACGCTCCGCAGCTTCCAACACAATCGAACGGTGCAGTCGTACCTGATACTCTACACTGGAGAGATTTAATTCTTCTTGGAGACCAGCCAGGCGTACAGCAGCGATATTATTTCTATCAAGGTAGTCTGGTAAGATTAGTCACCATCTTAATCATCATATCGCCATGCGACTTAGCGTAAACTCGACTTACTCATGATGTACATCAGAATAGCCATGGGCATTAACCGTGTATCGATTTTCCTCCTCAACCGCTTTTCGGCTAGGACTCGCTCGTCGGGAGTCATAGCAGCCACCAGCGGCGGCGGCTGCAATTTATCCCTCGGATCATCTTTGCTAGAACCCGCTTCAAGCACCGTAGGCTCCGGTCCGTCTTCTGAAATTTTCGCTGCAGAAACCTCCTTGTCATTATCCGGGGCTGCAACTGTTTTTGTCATATCTGCTCAAACAGCGGGTGTGTTTTCCGACCGTCCTTTGTGTAGTACTGGTAAAGTGGAGGAGGTGCGACACCACCAATTTCAATGGGGAAATTCGCGAGGTGGTTGAACAAGCAAAGAGCGGAAGACAAGATATACCAAGCAACATTGCGCGGCCCTCAAGCTTATTTATGCGGAGCTTACCTGGACGGCGAAGTGAGTATTAATGGCGGTGATATCTGCAACCCATGTGCAATCTCATCTCCCCGCACCGGGGCAATCGCCCGCGCGTCGTGTCACGATGAGCCCTTTGCCGTGCATGCATACAGGAATGACGGGCCGCCGCTGGAATCAGCGACCCAACAGCATCCAGCGCACACAATGATTGGCGCGACAACCATGACGATGCAACAGTATCATGTGGCGTGGGCAATGGATACACAAGACGGGTTAGTATAGTTTATTAACCGGCTGGGGACCTTGTTCCGTAGGAATCCGTTTTCCCGCTGCGAAACCTATTCTTGTAGTAGTCTAGACTCTGTTTACAAAAAAAAGATCATAGAAATATTTTTGTTTTTTTAAACGTATGTAGAGAACGATTTGTTTAGAAAAAAGTAAAATCAGATAAAACTATTAACTACGAACTGTATCTCTATCTCTATCTCTATCTCTATATACTTAGGCGTCGAAACTCCCAAGTTGTTGAAACAAATAGAGCCTTTGACCCCTCTCTAGGCGTTGAAACTCCATGTTGTTAAAACAAAGAGGGCCTTTGAATTCTCCCCAGGAGCTCATCGCAATCCATAAGATCTTTGTGGTTGCCAGCTGATGCTTGCGGCAGCAGTTGAGAGCGATCAGGTGTCTTTTTAACAGCTGATGGTATGGCCGCTGATAGAGCAGCCTTCGGCACCCCACTTTGAACTTGTTAGTATCTGAGTTTGAAACTAATCTTGAGAGAAACTTACGTTGATCCATCCACCGTCACCATTGTTGGTAATGGAGCCTGAGGTAATCTCGAAGCAATCGTAGCTTTTGAAACAGCATTACTATATAATCTTTTCACAGCTGCGAGAGAAAATGAAGTAGCTTACGTGGTGTGGTAAATATCCCACGAGAACTTCTCCGTAGCAGGACCATCGTACACGGCGCCAGCACTGATGGAGTATGGTCCATTCATGCAAATAACGCCCTTTGAGCCTGCCTCTCGGGTGGCATACAGATCTGGAATATGCCTCTGCATGAAGGCAGTGCGAGCCTAAAGCGATATCTTAGCACACGGTACAAGTTCAAGTGCGGCATTAACTTACATCTTCGAAAGTTTTGTAGGTATCCGATGAGGGTGCGATGGCTTCTTTGGTGCGCTCAATTCCCGCACTGATTGCACCAGCCAAGAGTTTGCCTCCAATGACATTAATCAAGAGGATAGTAATGGGACCAAACCGTTTCTCGAGAGCAGCTGGAGCCTGTTTCAATTGTTAGCTTTTCCATCGATGCTGAATTTCTGGTGAGAAACTGCAGATTAGCTCACATAAACATTGGCTACGACTCCAGTATTTTCAGTGGGAGTAGGAACAGCCAGTGCGGAAGCCGCGAGAAGGGCGAAAGAGAAGTTGCGGATGGTAGAGAATTGCATGATGGCGATGGAAGTACTCGTACTGAAGGAAGAGTAGGAAGGCTGAAGTGTTTCTGGTGATTGTAGATGTTGTAGATGCTGTAGATGCTGTGCGAAGTGATGAGTAGATGGGTGGCTGCGACTGCCATACTTATACTGTTCGTGTGCTTCTTGACCACGAGCACGTCCGTCACCAGCAACTGGGTTCAAAGTGTTCTAAGGGAACATTCCGTCACCGTGATACTCCTGTGTGGCCTTTGCAGATTCCATCATTGTACTACTTACGCCTAGCCCTCTCTCTCTGGGACAATCCGTCGTTGTCATACTATTGTGTACTAGCGTACACCGGCATTTTGCGTTAGCTCGACATATTAGCCAATCGAAACTGGAATAAAATAGCGCTCACTAGAGTAATACATACGGTTTTTGCAGCTATACTGGGGTAATGCTTGAGTTACTAAGATTAAGTAAGGGCTTCTTTCGTAAACAAGGATATTTAAACCGACATTTACTATGGCATCTCTCAAATCCTTATGCCTTCGTCTGATAAAATCTGACCAAGCTAACGGAACATACCTATGTGCATTAGTATCTTTGACAGATTCCGTTGTTGTACTACTCAAGTTCAGACCTCCCTCTGACCGACACCGTCCCTCAGGTGGGTTTCCCGATCAGCTGAGCATTCATAGCCAGAACCCGTATGGCCTGTTCGAAGGAGTGATTAACTATCTGGTCGTAGTGTTGGATTCGGTCAACTAAAAACCTATTCCAAAATCATGATGTTGTTACGTTAGCCGCAACAGGTCCGATTCGCGCAAAATGAATCGGAGGGAACTAGCAAATGCTTTACTCCAAGATGAAGGTAGTGTTACTCCAGAAAGCGCCGAGGGGAATAGTGACCCTCTTCTTTTAGGCAAAAATAGTCGTGAACCGGCAGCGAAAATAGTGCAGTCGCACCAGCAGATTTAGACTCTGCGAAGCAATCGTTCGATGCTTTCATCCTTGAGCCTTTACCAAATGAATGATTCCGCGGTGCAAAAGGAAGTGGCGCATATCTTCTGTGCACCTGACACCCTTCTAGTGTTAAAATCCGATGTCAATGAGAGTCGTCCCCTACGTACCAGGGTAACCAGTGCATGAATAAAACGTTTACTAACCCGGCTATATTTTCCCTATTCAATGTCGGAGCTCCGAGGAGAAGTAAGTTCGCGGACAGGAACAGCGCTATACTATAGCATCTTAGCCACGGAATTCGAGATCCCTAACCTTGCCGAAGCACTGCTGCGCAGGGATCATGTAGATTGGGAGTTGATAATCAAGCACCGAATCCATACAGTCCAATAGTGCCAATACCACACGGGGTACCCTTGAAGTAAGCAGCGTATCAGAAGCGCCGCATGTTTTAGTCAGCTACGCCCAGTACGGTACTTGTCCACCTTCCCTTAAGCTTCTAACTTCCACAACCCTGTGCCGCTCTGTGTCTTTGGCATTAAGTACTCAAAGATCAAAGTAGTCAGTAAAGTCACAGAGCAGTCCAATCAATGCAATCACTGGTCGCACAATCCACGTCAAGCACTTTAAGTCCGCGTTGCGCGTTCTTGGAGGCGGTAAAACCGTTGAGGATGTGCTTCTAACCAATATAAGGCGCGGGCTGGAGTCTAAGCACCGCTAGCTATGCTGTTAAAATTTACCTATTTCATATATGATACAAGGCGTGCCTATAGCGCGCGCTCTTTGTGTAACGGCGCAGGCAAGACTACTTGGATCAGTATCGGCAGTAGTGTCACTCAGAGGCATATGGGAGTGCGTGG